GACAAAAATGCTCTGTATGACACACATCCAAACTCAGACCACAGGGAACATGCCACGTGAGGCTTATGTTCTGCCAGGAGGCCTACTGCACTATCCAAAATGCTTGGCCGTTGTCAGAACTTGCAAGGGGAATTTTGTTTACTTTGTGAAATGCCTAGTAGGTTCCAAGGGTCATTTAGGAATACTGTCACATGGGCATTAGGGTAGATACAGTCTTTAACCTAAATGCACCCACTAAAGGAAGCTCTGTGATCTCAACATTCATTTTATTTCTACGGTCAATCAGTAGGATTCCTTACATTGGGAAACACCAGTAGAAAAGAGTCTTATATAATTTAATACTATTTGTATGTCCTCCAAATATCTTTTATCCAAGATCAGGTATATGATTAAACATTGTGTATGCTATATTATATTCTTTATGTCCCAGAGTCTTGACATGAATGCTTAGAGTGAAATACACATATCAGATAATACAAAAACTTTAATGAGATAAAAAAAATTAATTCTTGGGATTATTTAATAAAGTTCAGAGATTTGGTATCAGCAATAAAAAATCGCAGATTTAGGAATAGTTTGAATATTTATAAAATTTCAAAGTAATGCCTTAACTATTCACAGTGCCATCTTTATTTTATATATGATCACTCCCTCAATTCCAAGGTACATAATATGACCATTTTGTAGGATAGTTTCAGATGCAGTGAGAGTCTAAGAAAACAGGCAGATGCTTCAAGGAGAAGGTGGCAGATAAGAGTGCAGAACTGTGACAGAAGTCAGAAAAGGGGACAGGCAGCGGAAGGCATAAGTGATAGATACAAATGGTGACAGAAAACGCAGAAGCAAATGTGGTAAGAAATAATGTGAGAATGTGGAAGAGAGATAAAAATGCTGCCAAAGAGGTGCAGACTCAGACATTGTTTAATAAAAAGGAAATACAAGTATATATGCATCAATGAAAAAAGATAAATTAATTTTAGTAAATTCTGTAATCATATAAATTTTTATAAGATGTTTCAATTAATTCCTGTGTTCAACACCTAGGAAAGACAGGAAGAAGTAAGAGTATAATAAACAGTATTTGTATACTGATACTCTTGTCTCAACAAGATAGCAAATGTAACTGCCTGCCTCTCTTCTGGTGTCTAGGAAAGCTGCCATAAGATGAACAGGTGTTTGGGTTTGATGAGCTCAGTGACTCAGTTAGTTAGGCTGTGCTGTTTACTGGTAGTCAGAGCAATCACTTCCTAGACCTCATTGCCTGAAGCCTGACACAGCAGTTCTTCTCAGGCACACTCTCCATACTGTGAGGAATGCTATCACTTAGGGGTCAGGAGCCCTTCTTAGCCAGAAGGTCATCTGTGGTCTTTGGGATGCCTGAGGCCAGAGGAAGACGTACAAGAGAAGGAAGAAAGGGCTGTGAAAGACTGTCTTTATGGGAAGGAAAGGAGAGAGAAACTACAGGGTGGGAAGAAAGGGGAACTGGGGACTGGGAAGGAAAGCAGTTGTGTGTGTGCTGAGGAGGATAAAGTATGACCGCCAAATGCCTCAGAGCTGACTGCCCCACAGGTCACCTTCCTCTTCACTCAGCACCTCCTTGGCTTGCTTCAAAAATCTATTTATTCAGGGGATTCCCAAATATGGGGCAGGGCTAGGTGACTGCTTAAGTCACGATCTTCTCATCTCTTAACCCTGACCATTCTGTTATTCCCATACTGCTCTGTGGTTCCTTCCCACTCACTCACCCTGTCATTTTTCTCTTCCCACTCCTAAACACTGGTGGTTCCTAGTGCTTTATGAGGAACAAACTATTACATTTTTTCTCTCTTGGGGAAACACTGCTCTCTTCTTCCTTCTGTAATTAGAACATAGCTGTCCTTTGAGCTTACTGATTCCTCAGAAGCCCTTTGCAAAGGAAATGTTCATCTTCCCATATTTCTTGCACTATGAGACTTGTATCCTCTTTGGTCTCTAATGCAGTTTTCAGATCATTATTTCTCATTTTTGTAAAAATTTCCATTCTTTTGGGCTTCATAAATCCTAGCTTTTCTTGTCATCATTTACTGAACACTGCCTTTCATTCACTGAAGAATTTTGGTGCCTAACTCAACATCTGTAACTCTGTATCTCAACTCTAGATATTACATACTGTCCACTTGGACAGTCCATTCATTTAGGTTTCACTGCTTCATTTACTAGCACTGTTTCTCCTCCAGGTCACTTGGTTCACCCCTTCTGTAGTCACATCTGGGGTACTGAATATCTGTCACCCTGAAATGACTAATTGGATGCAATGTCCCATTCTCTGATAAGGACACCTACCTGTATAGCTTGTTTGCTCAACAGCCCAACCTATACTGGCTAATGAGATCACTGCTTAATACATCAGCACACTGTCTTTCCAAGAAACTTATATTGCAAATTAACCCTTCTTTCTCCTGTATCTTCAATCTATCCTTCTTTGCTGGAGATTAAACATGGTCAAGAAAGTTTTATTTTAAACAAAGTAACACCTAAAGAACAACACAAAGTCTTTCTGCATTTCATATTTCCTTCTGGTTACAACTCTCATAGCTAAATTTACGAAATGGTTGGGCATTTTCTCTCTCTACTTAATCATTCTTGTTCACTCCTCATTCTCTCCCAATTTGCTTGCTGCCTTTACATTGCCATTGAAAGAGCTCCTTCTGAAGTCAGTATGACCTTCATTAGCCATGATATTGTAATTGAGCCACCTTCAGCATTGCTAAATACAGCTGATAATTACCTCCTTTCTGAAGTAGTTTTCCTGTGGCTTCTGTTGACACCATGGTCTTCTGGATTGCCTACGTCTCCAGTTGCTCCTTCTTATTAGTCTTCTTTTTCAGCTCCTCCCACCCCCACTTTACTCAACCTTTAAAAAGCTATGGAGTTCTATAGGACCTAATCTCAAAATAACCTCTATGTTTCTTTCCTTAGGTAATCTCATTCATTCTCATGGTTTTAAAAGTCACTTAAGCCAATGCCTCTGAATTTTATATCTCCAGCTCTACATATCCATACTTTGCTACATAGTTCTACTTGGATGTTTTGGGCACTTCAAATATAGTATGCCTAAATGTACTTCTCTTCCCAATACCTTACAACAATGACCAGACTGTTATTTTCATTTTCACACCAGAAACAAGGGGTCACCTAGGAAAACTCCTTCATCAACCCCACCAACATCCTATCTTAATAAACAATCTTACTTTAAAAATCTCTTGAGTCTATCCAGTTCTACCTCCATTGCCACCAACCTAATCAAAGCCATCATCACTACTATAGTAACCTCCTGAACTGGATTCTCCAAACTTATTCTACTCTACTACTGCCAGTCTAATTTCTACATTGCAGCAAAAAATCTTATAAAAATTCACTTTGACCATGATACTTCTCCCCTGTAACATGTAGTGGTGTTCTGCTTATAGAGTAAAGAAGATTCTCAAATTGTTAGAGAGCCCTTCAACATCTGGCCCCTCTTCAGTTTCCAGACTCATTTCATTCTCCGTTGTGTTTTATACTCCATGGTCACTCAATTCCCTTGAATTCCTTCTCATCTCAGACTACTATTTTATGCAGTATTTTATGTTTGTTTTCCACATGCTATTTCATGTTTGTTTTCTGTCTGGCAGCCTCCTACTCATAAAATCACTTCTTTTTTTGGATAATCCATTACTGGTTAATGGATTCACCCTTGGCTAATTCATTTACCCTTCAAACACTGTCATTCCCTCAGAGAAACCAGATTTGAATTTCTTTTGTAGTGCTTATCCCAATTACAATGCATTATTTGTTTAATGTCTATGCTTCCTGCCCCAACTTAAACTCCTTACCTCCACTGCCAAACTGTAAGATCCAGGAAGGCAGCAATGGTGCAGGTTTTACTGAGTGTATGTTGCATCTGTGAGGCCCAGGCCCATAGTATGTACCCAATAAACATGAAGGAAATGAATGAATCAAAATTAGTTCATTACAACTTTGGGAATCTGTTTCTCTCAACCCATAGAGAGCAATGTGACTGATATTTTCAAGTTTTGCTTAAATAACAGTGGAAATAAACAGCAATTAGATGTTCTTTAATTCAACTATAGTTTTCTCAGGAGAGGGAACCCAATTGCCTAACTTATAGTACTAACTTGTAGTTATTTCTACTCACAAATTACAGTCCTTAAAAATAAGTGAGAAAAGAGCATCAAGGACCAGGAGAAGAAATGAATAAAGAAGATTCTATTCAACTTCCTTTTGCTTAAGAGCCAGCTACCCCCATTCCATCAACTATTCCTTCAGATTTATATTTCCTACTACATTCATATACTGATTTGTCCTTTGTCTAAATTTGGTTAGAAAAAGAAAAAAGAGAAAAACAAGTATGCTTAGGGAAAACAAAGAAAAAAAAGTCTAGGAAAGTTTTTTCAATCAAGCAAACATCCCTGAGGCAGAAAGTCCAATTACAGATCCTGTTTGGATTTCAAATTATAGTCACTTTCTTAGAAATTCTGAAAAGCATGGGAAATAATTAGGAAAATAAAGCCACATTTTGGCTATACGATGAAATACCAATCCATGTCTTTTAAAAACATAGCACTTCCTTGTTGTTAAAAGTTTTCAATAACTTCCATAGTATCTATTTTTTCCTTCAATTTGGTTGGGCACATCCTTTTTCCCCTGATATCCAGGGCTGAATGAAAGAATAAGGAAATAGTTTTCTTGACCTAAGTCTCTAATTTAACCAGTGCTCTATCTCTCTGCAGTGACAGAGTTATGGAAGATCAAAGGGACCTGGAATTCTCCCTCCCACAGGGAAGAAGCAGATGGTAAAGGCTGACGCTTTCAGGCAGTATACTGACAGACAGACAATAGTGGTTTCTACGTATTCGCTGTGCCAGCCTTGTTCTAACTTTGATGTTTTTTCACTGCCAAATACTGATACCTATTACATTGTTCTCCCTGTGCTTCCACCCAATCTTAACCTACTTTACCTTTACAGGGATGTCCTTTTCCTGTCTGGCTTTCTCTGAAGTACAGACATATGATATTTCTTTGTGTGACGTGGTCTGGCGGCAGATGGCACACGTTATGGATCTTCTATGAGACCCCACGCTGTACTGTTTGATAATAATTGAAATGCATTCATTACAGAAACAGTGCCCACAGGTCAGTACTGACCACTGAAAAAGAAAACACACAGAAGACGTGTCAGTGAGATGCCATGAAAGATGACTTACACCTACAAATATGTTAAAAGGTGGAGAAGGGAGTCACAGTTTTACTTCTTAAATATTTTATGACATTAATATTCTGTAAGTCATAAAAGCTAAGCTCTATTTTTAAATTAATGATTTTTTAGTCCAACCAGAGTAAGCTATCACAGGCTTTAGTTCAACTCAAATAGTGAGCACAACAGTCACCATTACTCTGTAAGAAGTTGGTGTTCCCATTTCAGAACTTAAGAAAATTGCAAGTTACTTCTTTAGCACTGTAACAGCAGACAAAAAAGAGGAACTGAGAAAAATGTTAATTTAGAGATAATATCATACTCTACACAACATATTAAGAAGAGTTATATTTTCACATTTTAAAGTACTTATTATATAGAATATGAGATTTATTTTAAAAGTTGCTGTGGCCCTTTAAAAAAAACCTAAATAAATAAATAATTCAAAAGATATTTGTGAAAATGCCATTGTTTTATTTCAAGAGAAGTACAGTGATCCTCTCTGAATCTCTGGAGACAACCATGGAATCTCCCCCTTTTTTGGCAATTGGATATAGAAGAGCATTAAATTTAGCTCAGGTGTCTGTCTGAAAGCTATCGCATCTTAAGCAAATCATGTAACCTTTTCCACCTGGTAAACAACAATTAAAAACTGAGTGATATCGTGAATGACAAGGCTCCCAGGCCCTAAGCTGTGTCTTTTCTAGGATTTGTATATGTATGGATGTGTATGAAAAGAGGTGTATGGCTTGGTCCACCCGAGGTCCTTGGCAGGATGGACCAAGAAGCCCCTTGGAAATGAACTCACGCTAAGAGAAGACAAAAAAGAGGTAAGCTTGGTTTTCAAACAATTTTTTAGAAGTGGGAGACATTATTTGGGGATTTATTAGCTGATGCAGTTCTCTGGTTCTGTGGCTATTCTCCTGCTCTCAAGAACTTGTGCCAGAGTACTCAGCGGTTAAGGAGCTGTTTCACTAGCATTTGTATAGACACAGAGCAACACTATTCTGTATGCTGTGTACCTCTAGTGCCACTGGGAGATGAAGGGTGAGCTCACACAAGGCTATTTGAGGGGCCTTGTGTGAGCTCAGAATGGACATGCTTATCAACGTAAGTTCACCTACATCTGCAATTCAGGAGAAGCCAGAGACACCTGGTACCAGAGCATGAAGAGTGACTGAAATTTGACTGAAGTGGTCCAAACAAAAGAACAGACAAAAGACAGGCCTCCAGGGGTTTATTAGCTATTATATATGCGCTATTGCCAACAGATTCTCTAAAGTAGGAGAGGAGGGGAATGGGAAGCTAAGGGGAAAGATCTACTAGATCCTACCAATTGTGAATACGAACAGTTTATAAAAAGCAAAGTTCTGTTACTCTTATTGTAATCCAATGTTTTCCTACGTGTGGGAGATCTGGATTATGCTAAAATTAAATGAAATAATGTGTATCAAAGAACTTTAAAAAACTGGAAATGTTTGAGCCAAAAATTAAATAAAATTTCTGAGACAATATAGTTGCATGAATTTTATCAAAACTAAAAGCATAAAAGCACAAAACTAAAAGCACAAAACTACTTCCATCATGATCCTTTCCATTTTTATCACAACTTCAATCACATTCTTATTTTTTTATCTTTTCTAGGATTTGGATATGTATGGACGTGTATGTAAAGAGGTATATGGCTCTCAATCTTTTCTCATTGGCTTTTCTCAGAATCAGCAGTACCTGTACCTTACTATTCTTCTGTTTAGTTCCCAATGTAATTTAATCTATCCATTTAAGACTTATCATCAATTAAGTATCCTTTAAAATCTCACTGTCTCCATAAATTGTGAAAACTAAAAGGTACTCTTTCTGATTCCTGCTGGTCAGAATATGGAACTCACATACTTGACTTTCTACTCTCAGTTACGTAGGAAAAAAAAGAGCCAAGGACACTTTTACTCATTTAATAGTAGTAGGCTTATCTTTCAAATTTTGAAGAGCAATGAAAATTCTGATATTGTAAATATTGATTTATTACACAAGTAGGAATTTATAGTTTCAAATATCACAATTGGATGAAAATAAGAATCTCTTTAAGGGAACTAATTTGGTGTCAAGTTTATAAACATCTGTATACTAATATTCACAAAGAAACATATTTATGCTTAACTGATACAAGGGTCTTGTAAAAATCATATCTAAATTCTCCAAGGAGAGATGTTATTTGTACTTCAAAGCCTGGTACTATTAGGTATTAATAATCCCAATTAAGAGCTGTTTACTATCTTTGTAGTGTCTTGTTAAGTAAATCTGTATATGCTGTATTATGTGTACAATCACCAAATAACCATGTTAAACTGACAAAGTCAAGTTACCTTCATCCAACTTTGTGACTGGAAACAACACTCAGAACTATGCATCTCTTAATAAAAAAGAACGAGTTATTCTAGAAATAAGCACCTAGAACTTAAGGGAAAACTCTACTCAAATGTATGTGGCATTAAGCATGTCACTTACCCTTTGGCCCTATTTTTTAAGATGGAGGTAATATTTGCCTTATATACAAAGTTGTCATGAGAGAAAGAAGATAGAGATACCATGCCTCTGAAAACTGTAAAGTGTTTTATAAATACATGTGATATTTATTATAATTTCACCTGTTTTCCCAGCTGCCGAGCACAGATTGGACAGGGTTCTGGATTAATACCCCCTGAAGTTTTGTCTTGAGACTACCCAAAAAAGAATTAAAAAACGTATTAGTTACATCTGAAAACCTGATACATGTTTTACAAGTCATTTATAGAGGTAAATGCTGGCAAATGCAATTTAAACAACTCAATAATTGAGATGACTTAGTGAAATATAGCTGTCCTTTGAACAACACAGTCTGAACTGCACAAGTCCACTTATATGTGGGTTTTATCAATAACTATATTGAAAATCTTTTTGGAGATATGTGAAAATTTGAAGAAACATTCTTTTCTCTAACTTACTGTAAAAGTACAGTATAAAGTACATATAACACACAAAATATGTGTTAACCAACTATTTGTAAGGCTTCTGGTCAACAGTAGGCTGTTAATAGTTAAGTTTTGGGGAGAGTCAAAAGTTATACTCAGATTTTTGACTACATTGGGGTTAGGGCTCCTAACCTTCTTGTTCATGGTCAGCTGTACATATAATCTTATTCTATTATTCCTGAGATTGACAAATAACATTTACTCAAGGAGTAAAAAAGTGTGTCAACAATTTATAGTTTGAGTTATCATATTATTGTAATTTTGAATATCCAGAAGGCAAAATGAAAAGCAAAATACAACTTGGCTAAGTTCTCAAAACTTTACTTTCAACCTAGACTTTGTTATAAAGAAATATATATCATTTGTAGAACATAAAATTTGGAATTTTGAAATAAAGTCTCCTTTCTTAAAAATTATGGAGAAAATCTTTTCTTACTCTGCATATCCACCTGGCATGAGATCACAGACTTGGGAAGAGACAACATTTACTTATGTATCTCCTTACTAATACTGATTTCTTCTCAGTATCTTTCTTCTAATCTCATTAAGGCAAAGCAAATAACTAGAAAGCAGAAATACTTCTGATTTGAGACCTATCTGTGCCTGGAAATCATACTGAAGTATAATAACTTTTCAAAGTCTCTTTAAAACTATCTCAAAAATTGGAGAGCTTCAAAAAGTCACCAAGTGGGCAGGTTTTAATATTCAGGAAAACATAAATTAAGACTCACAGATTACTGAAGTTTTTAAGTCTGTGGTTCCACTAACCAAATAAACATTTTAAAAAACTTGATTATCCTTTGACTTTAATTAGTAAACAAAAAAGCTAAATTGTTTATGGATTCAGCAATTCTACGGGTTCAAATCAATTCTATTAACTATAAGTACGCGGGCATTTAAAAATGCTGAACTGAATTATTCTTTCCTCTGTTAATTACTGATTTCTGTTTCAGATAACACATATACAAACTACCTAAAAATTTAGTGGCTAAAACAAACATTTCTCATGATTCTACAGGTCACCTGGGTAATCTGGGGATGGGCTGACTTGGGTGAGGCAGGATGATCCAGGACAGGCTCATGCTCATGTTTAGCAGTTGGTGGGCTGGCTGGTCTGGGGAAAGTGCTGAGCTGAGGTTTCTGTTCCTCAAGAAAAGAAACCTGGGCTTCTTCACTTAATCTCAGAGTTCCAAAGAGTAACAAGATTGGAAGAACTCTAATGTACATTGGCTTTTAAGTCTCTGTTTGTGTCTTGAGGCCAAACACAAGTCAGATGACCAAGCCCAGAGTCAGGGTAAGAAGAGAGCATCTATAGGCAGGTACAATAAGGGGCATTGCTATAGCATTTTGTAAACAAGTTGTCATACTAATTTATTTAAAGCAAAGATTAACATTTTTTTCCATAAAGGGCCTGGATACAAACAGTATAGGCTTTTTGGATACACGGTCTCTGTTGCAAACACCCAACTCTACTAGTATTTTAGCACAAAAGCTGCCATAAAAAATATGTAAAGGAGTAAGCATGCTTGTGCTTTTAATAAAAAGCTTGTGCTTTACAAATTTAATAAAATGCTTGTGCTTTGTAAATAAAACTTATTTACAAAAACAGATCATGGGCTGGATTTGACCTTCATAACTGTCTGCAGATCCCTGATCTACAGTTGTAAACTTCTAAGTAAGCCTTAGCTGCATATTGTCACGTACTTTCATTTTTGTTCATTTCAGAACAATTTCTAATTTCCACTGTGACTTCTTTGCCTCGTGGCTTATTTAGAAGTGTTTTGTTAATTTCTGAACATTTGGGGATTTATCTGATTATCTTTCCATATTGATTTCTAGTTTAATTCCTCTTTAGTTAGAAAACATACTCATGTATTACTTTAATCCTTTGAAAACTGTAAGAGTTGCTTTTTGGATTAGCGGAAGGTCTACTTTGGTAAATGTTCCACGTACACCTAACAAAGTGCCTGCCACATTCGTTGGGTAGAGTGGTCTGTCAATCAGGTCACGGTTGTTCACAGTGTTCAAATGGTCAATATTCTTTCTGATCTTTTTGTTCATTTGTCTTAAGTATGGAAGAATTTTATAATAGTTAACCTCTGCTTAACTCCTTTTGTGTATGTATTTTAGTTCTGCATGTGTTCTATATCCTATAAAACAGCATTGCTGCTTTACACAGTCAATATTGTTTTATATTTACCTACGTATTTAAACTTTCTCTTGTTCTGTATTCCTTCCTGTAGTTGCATCCTTCAATCTGCAATAATTTTCCTTCAGTCCAAAGAAGTTCCTTTAATAGTTGATGTACTGTGAGTCTACTGGGAATGAAATCTTTCAGTTTTTGTTTCTTTACAAGCACCTTTTTTTCACTGTTTCATAGTATTTGAAAGATGTTCCACCATTACTTGGTTACACAGAGAAGCTGTGGAAACCAGTTAACAATGGAATGACATCTTTAAAATGCTGAAACAGCTTTCTGTGTAGTCAACACAGAGAATGCATGTAGTCACCAGTTTTATGGTGCTCCTTTGAAAACACATATTTTTTGTCTTTTTTCTAATTCTAGTTGTTTAAGTTTTTTTTCATTATTTTTGATTTCTAACAGTTTGATTATGATAATCCTATGTGGGCTTTTAAAAAAAATTCTGGTTGGGGTTCTCTGAGCTTCTTGAATCAGTAAGACATTGCCATTGTCTTTCATGAGTTTTGGAAAATTCTCAGCCATTTACCTCAAGTTGCTTTTCTCATATTTTACCTTTTTTTCCTGATACTCCAATTACATGTAGGCTAGATCATATGACTTATCCCACATCTCTTTTACTCTATTTTGTTCTTTATTTTTATTTATATATATGCATCTTTATATTGGTATTTTCTGTTTAACTGTTCTTGAGTTCACTAATTTTGTCATTTTCTGCATCTGGACACCATCCAATGAGTTTTTATTTTCAGATACTAGATTCTGCAGTTCCAAAGTGTCCATTTGATTTTACTGTATATATTCTAATTTGTTTTATCAATGTTGTCCAGTTTTTCTTCTTTTTTAATGTATTAATCATAATTAAAGCCTTTTCCTGCTATGTCAACAATCTTGATTATCTATAGGTCTGCTTCTACTGTCCATTTCTTCCCTTTCAATTATTGGTCACATTTTCCTGCCTTTCACATTTCTTGTAATATTTTTATTGTATGCTAGATTTCCCAATTTGTTTACATAACAAACTGCAGAGACAAAATTTGAATACATTTTCCTCCTGCAAGGATCACCTTTATCCCTGACAGGCAGTTAGGTTGAGGGGTGAGTGGCTGGCTAATCACCTCAATCCAGTAAAACAGGGAGCTGGTTTTAGGGAATGGTAGGAAGTTTAATTCAAAATCAGTCCCCCTATAGTTTCAAGTGTCTCAAGGGTAAGAGCTGTGAGGTATTTGCTGTGGACCCCTTTCTCTGGTGGGGTAAACAGTCCCCTAAGTATTTTAAGACTGATGAAGATTTTACTTTATTTCTAGATCAGGCCTTGCTGTCACACAACCAAAAACACTGAGCAAATGACTGAAGTTTGTTGAATTGTATGTCACTCTGCTCTCAGTGATTAATTTATATTTAATTTGCCAAGTTTGGTTGAATCACTAACATCTGATTCATCACAATTTGATCAGTTCCCATGATCTGTCCACATCAAATCACTCTAAGTACCTTGAAGTTAGGGACCAAGTCTGTTTATCTCAAACTGCTAGTATAATGCATATACACAGCGGGCGTTGAGTAAGTATTTGTTAACTGTCAGAAAAATTTATCATTTAAAAAATCTGTTTAGTTCACTACCTTTTGTTTATTTTGAATAAACATAATCACACAAATTTGAGATGACATTCCACTAATAATATTAGACATTTTTTTCTCTCAACTTTCTAAAACAAGCATTTTATCATATTCACTGAAAATACCATTTAAAATATTTATATCATAATCTCACTAGAAGAATAAACCATGACTTATATAAACACTGTACTTTTTGTTGGACATTTAGCCTTCCCAGTTTATTAATATTATAAATAGCACTGTAATAAATATCCTTATAACTAATTCACTTCCTAAATTTCTATTTACTTAGAATATTTAGGTAAACTTCTACAAATTATTGAGTCATAGAATATGAATTATTTGAAACTGTTAATATATGGTAAAGTGCTGTCAGGGAAAGGCTATGTAGTTTATATCCCCATAGGTAATGCACGAAATACTTGTTCACTGCCCTATTACAACTGTGGAGTGTTACTTAAAAAATCTTTGCCTACTTGTCGGCAAAAACGGCATTTGTTTAATCTGATTTTCCTTCATTCATAGATTAAATGTCAAATTGGGTTTTCTTAGGCAGATTACACTCTTGGAATTTTAATTTTTCAAAAATAATTCAACATGTAAAGGATATCAACTTATATCCTATAATTAACAAATGATTAACCACCTCTGAGTTTTAATTTCACATTCAAAGTATAGAAATCTTATGTTTTAGGAATTTATGGCCAGGAATTTCAAGACTTTTTTTTCCAAATGTAATTTTGTTAATGCTAGCATTTTGCCTGGGGGGGAAGTTTTTCTGTCATTTTCTCCTGCCAGCATATTAGTAGTCATCATCATAGTAATAATAATATGGTGATAGTATTAACAGTGAACACCTAGAAAGTGCTTATTTAACCAGGAACTACTCTAGCACTTCTATATATATTAATTCATATAATCCTCAAAAGAGCCTTACAAGATAGTTATTATTCTCATATTACAGACAGAGCAACTTGAATAGAGTCTTATATCTAGAAAATAGTGGTGTCATGGTTCAAACTTGAACTTTCTGGTTTCAAAGTCTATCTTAACTATCATACTTTTACCTACAATGATTATCCAATTTTTCATTTTGTCACTACTAGGATTTCCTGCTTCTCTTCAATATATTTTGTATAAGTTTTTAAGACAAACTAGTCTACTGCTTTCCTTTATTTGCCCTATCCCAAAATTAACTTTTATATCTTGTTCTGATAAGATACTCTGCCAACTGCCATTTACCCTTACAAAAAAACGGAACATACAATTCATCGATGTCCAATATAATACTTTGTTCACAACTCAGAAAATGTATTGTGAATTACATAACAATTCATTACATCTTCTGATTTACCTTTCAAACACATTTCTAGAGTTTCAAAGAACAAATTAAAAAAACCACTGTGTATGCATTAATGAGTGCATGTGTATATATTATATAATGGTTTCTTTACTTGGGGTACATTGTACTACATCTATTGTTCAAGGCTCTGAACTACAGTGTGTTTACATTGTTCTATATGATATAGTACACACCATTTATATTTTCTGTGTAACATACTTTCTATAAGCATCATCTTGTGATCTGTGTAGCTATGATACATGTAACTAGTGTTCTGACTCATACCACAAACAAAGGATTAAATAAGAAAATCTTATTTATAGGACTAACAGACTAAATGGAAGGGGTCACTAAAGTGGTATACTGAAATACAGTATGAGAAAGTCGTATCTTTTAAAAACAATACCTTTTTCAAGTTAGTTAGGTAAAGATGATGTCCAAGTTTTTTCTGAAGCTGTGAAGTGGCAACAGCTTTATCATTTAATAGTTTTATACGATTTTGTTCTACCTAAAAAACAAAAGAACTTCTTTATTCTCTCTCAAAAAGACAGTAAAATTATATAAAACATGTACAATTCTTTCCCATATTTTGCTTTATAGAGGATAAAATTCAATATAGAGTTCTTCTAAATATGAAGTTTCCCTATATACTTGAGGTTTAATAAAAATCAACCCAGACTGTATTTATATCCATGGCATAAATAAAAATTAAATGATTGGTATTTTGGCAAGAGTGATTTTACGAAATCCAAGTAGAATCTTCCTGAACACTCACTCTCTTCCTTCCTTTCCCAGTAGAATATAGTAGGCAGAAAAGGAGTATGCAAATAAAAGGAATTTGTTTTCATAGGAAATGCTTGTTGAGAATTCATATTTTAGAAGTTAAGTGAGATAGTATATTATGAATATTTCCAAGTTTTTCTAAGTTACAGTCTCCAAACTTTATAGGAAAAAAAAGACTTAAAAGATCAAACACATACAAGGAATAAAAATAAATTATAATGGAAATTATATTTTTAATATGAAGAGAAAAGGTGGAGTTATTTTTTGATCCTGAGAAATAAAGAAGGCTTTATTATAAGGTAAGCTGTCAATATCTGTTCATCATTAGCAAAAGAAAACTTGAAAGAAAAGGTTGTTTGTTTGTAAGGAAGGCTTTTCTACTTCTGGAAAAGCTGAGGTAATAAGAACATATGCTTAAAAACTGCCCAAGAACACCTTTAGGTTTTGGCACATAGGTGATCAAAAACACATGAATGTACAATCTGGGAAGAAACAAAAACCAAAATAGTGGTATGAAATGGCTCATCTTTGACCATTTTTGACCTACAACACCAAACAATTTCATATGGCTCAAACTAAGAGTAGAGATTAAATACATACTTCTGAAGGAGATTACTGCCTTGCTATCTCTTCTACAGATATTGGATTTTTGTGACATCTATTTGCTGTGCTCCTTCCTGTGATTTACTTGCAAATTACCTCATGTGGTTCAATGATATGAAGAACAGGAGGATTGGGCTTTGGCTCTTGAGGATGACGCACTCTCAGTCGTTCTGTAGCCATTGCAAGTTCATCAACAGCAGATACACGATTCCTTAAAGCCATCCAATATTCATGCAGCAACTGGAGGAATAGAAAAAAAAATAAGCGACAGGAACAAAATTAAATTGGTAAAGTGCACATAATTAAAACTGTTTAAAGCCACCAAGATGTGCATGTCTTCAGTGAGGTCTAAGACATATACATATTTTTCATTAAATGTCTAAGGTATAAGCAATTTTAGAACTGTCAGGATGAGGAAGTAGGACTGAATAATCACCATAGGAAACTGCAGAGTACTGCCTCTTCAGACTCTAAGGAACAGAATACCCGAAGATTTCTCAGTGGGACCAACGATCTTTATAAACATTAGGCTATGGAATCTATTTTTTAAAGAAATATTTTTATTATAAAATGTCTCACATATTCAAAATAATATGTATATATGACAATGAAAATACTAAAATACACAACCAAGTACTCTTCATCCAATTTAAGAAAGAACAATACTAATTCCTCGAAAAGCCTTTGTGTTCCATCTCAATTGTACCATTCTCTTTCCCCACACATTCTTCAACTCCCCCCAACAATGGACTAACCAATAATCTGAATTGGACTTATTTGTACTTTTCACTGGAGTTATACTGATCTATACTTAATAATTTAGTTATGTATGTTTCTGAAATTTATAGAAACGCTATAATAGGTATAAAATTTTTGATATGCTTTCTTCCCTAACATTACTTTGAGGTAGATTCTGATTGATGAGTTTAACAGTAGTTTACTTATTTGCATTGCTGTAAAAGGGTTTAGTTTGCAGTGTTGTGAAGGAGAAATGCACAAAGATTTGGGAGAACTACATGATAGGCATTCCTCTAGCACAGAATCTGTGGCCAAACCAAGACACAGGAAAAAAGCAGGGGAAAATGGACATTGTATATAGTACTGTCTACTTCCATGGTTTGTTGGAATTAACTGCGATAAAGTGCTTTTGCATTTAGAATAGTAATATGAGAAGAAAAAATTATGAGATGATGATAAGTGACTTTATTGAAGTATTATAATTTATCAAACATATGAAATGATATTATAGACAGCACATCTTCTTTCTGGATAGAAATTTTTATCTTGCTTTAAAAGGCAAGAACTTTAGATTTTTAAAAAAAGATACCAAGTAGAATTAAAACATTATAAATAAAACACTTTTTTCATTTCCTAGCCCATCTCACCTGCAAAGTAGGATAATGGATAACAAATTCCACATAAATAATTACTCAATATTAATGAATTCAGGAATCTCATCTCAAGTGCATAGTTATAATGTGAATTTATAAGTATAAATATGAAGGGTTACTTTGTGCTTTATTGCAAGGTTTCCAGCCTTGCAGGTTGAGAAATATTTACTTTATTCTATAACTTTCAGGGTTGTTGTTATTTGGTTGTCATTCTTTCAGCAAAAGCAAAACAACAAAACACAGCACAAAATCCTACTCTCATTTCAAAGAATAGCACTGCAAGATCAAGCTAAGAAGACAATGAAACACTTTCATAGCTAAATAAAGGAAAATCATTTTAATGACTGTCTTTCAGTAATTTAATAAATAAAAGATCCTCGGTATTATTATATTATTTTTTATTACACTCATTACATTTTCAGGAAAGAGAAATTATGACACCTCAAGTGTCCAAAGCAGGTTTTTAAAAACTGAACAGAGAAAAAGCAAAGTAGCAAATGAAAGTATTTTCATTTTTAATATTGGAAAGAGTACTGATATTTAAAATATTGTACCTTATATTCTTTCTTCCATGCTTCAAACAGATCCATTGAAGTACTTCCTTCATCAATTAATGCAACATCAAATCTATGTGATTTTGCAAATGACAGTAACACTTTCATAGATCTCTCTGTCTCACTTACTGCCCACAGACCCCGGTTGGTGGTAGGCATTCGATCATCCACTAGTACTTCCTCATCCTCTATCATTTCCTCAAAAATTGCAGTGTGGCCTTTGACTCTGCATATATACAAGAGCAAAACAACAGCAACTATTGTCAGTGGGTAATATGCATTATAAAAGTCATACGGGCAGAGCCAATAGGGAGGCAAGGTCAGTAAGTTTTCACCAACAATCTTCAATGCCATGTCTACATCATCAAGCTTGCAAGTCTTTAGAAAAACAACAATAACTCTGAAAATGCTCGATACATCATAAATTTGTCCAGTGTTTATTGAGAGCAACCTGGCATCATAAAAAATGGCTATAAATTCCAGGCTAAAATCTCTCTCTGAGAATTAAAAGAATATAAAACACAAACTACCACCAACATCAACCATGCAAAAACAAAACAAAACTAACAAACCCATGTATCAAACATTATGCCAAGCAATTATATGCATTTTCTTACATAATATTCTTAAGAAACTCAATGAGGTTAAGTGTTGCTATTATCTTCATTTCACATGTGAGGAAGCTGAGGCGTGGTGAAGTAATTTGTCTACAACACTGGGCATGGATTTGAGTCCAAATCTGTTGAACTTGAGACTCTTATCACTCCCCTAAAACTGTCCCCAAATTACACATTACTACATGACATGAGCATTTGGTAACTTCTGTGTAGGTGAAACTGAGCATGTTAAATGATCAAAGGACAAAGCTTACTGAATTGATGGAATAAAAGAAAAAAATGTAAAATAGGAAAATACAGTCTTACAAATCAAAATGCTAAGTCTTTAAAAATATTTCATTCTCCTGATGGGAAATAACAATCAGAGAACTTACATGTGAGAAAACAGCTTCGATTCATACTCTGTGAACAATTCATCTGCTTTACAAAAGACACAACTGGAAAAGAAGAAATTATCAGAGAAATATTCACAAACATAACCAGCTATCAGGCAGTTTCTAAGAGAGGTTTAGTATTTGATACTTAGCTTTTTCTTTACAATAAATGTGCCATTAAAAAAAGTAAAATATATAGTTTTCAGTATGTGGTTCTTGAGAGTTTGTGTTTTGAAAAGTTAGATTAATAATACATCTCTTTCTACTTCTGTCAAATTCAATGAAAGAAGCTTTATGATATGAGCCATGGTCTTCTCCTCTCAGAAGAAATTTGCCTTGGTGGAAAGGTGCCATTTCATTGCAGGAGCTCTCCTACCACCTACCAGTTGAGAGGAAGTCTGGTTGGCCGGAGGTGGCAGATGGTTGCAGATTCAATAACATCACGAGATGGAGGTCCCTCCAGGTTTCTTACAGCCTCTCTTACCAGCTTCTGGAATTTATTTAGCTCCTCCATTTGTGTTGTAAGTAAGTACTGAAGACCTCTGCAGTCATAGAACCTGATTCCCATCATCAGCACAATGCACAACACAGAAGAGTAGTAGGTTAGTTTCCTCAAATTCGAAAAATGGTACCAAACAAAGTGGTAAAAAAAACTGCAGCATTTTATCTAGCTGCACTTGAGGGAGTTTACTTTCACAGTGTATTCCATCAGTATCTAATAGCAGACAAAGTATGACAACATTGGGTTATTTACTATAATAGATGCCCCAAATGGCTGATAGTCCCTCCACAGGGACTGAAACAGAGGACACACAATTTGTTTCTTTCTCAGATGTTTTTGAAAGATCAGACTGCCACATTCTTTTTTAATGCTGATTGACTATAGATGTCCCTCCTGAATCCTTGTTCTATATGGAGAGGTGACTACAGGATGAAAAATAAAGACAGAAAATTGGGAAGATGAAAAATAGCCAAGACTTACATTCCTTGTTACAAAGACATTTTGTGTATCTATACATAAAATATATGTGTATATTTGATCACATATATACATTTTATATATCTATTCTATTAAGCATTTACTATATGCAGGCACTTTGCTAAACATCTTTTGTTTAATCTCGACAGACACTCTTAAACTCATGTTATGGATGAAGCTTAAGGAATAAAGTAATTTAGTTGAAGTTACAAAGTTATTATATTGCAGAACTAGGAGTTAAACCCAAACACAATGCTCTTAGCCATTTTGATAAGCTAAATGAAATAGGCTAAAATCATACAGATGTGTCTCTATGGGTTTATGAAAGGAAAAAGAAAATCTAGAATAATAAGAAATAAGAAAATAGAAAATAAAAACAGGATTTGTTTTCTTTTTAAGATGAGAGTATTCACTTCTCCTTCCTAAAATGCCATATGCCCTCCTCTCCAGATTGTTCAGAAGAGCCCACTCTCCTTCCTGAAAGCTTTCCCAGTATTCCACGGTACTAATCTATTCATTTTAGCAGTTTGTTATGTTCAGTTTTTAAACATCTCACATTTCTTAAACTGTCCATAAGTCTTGTCTTCTCATTAAGCTAACTTTTTAGAAGATAAGAATTCTATCATACCCATTTAAAAAAAACATTCATAGTAGGCACAGAATAGCTACTCAATAATTTCTAAAAGAATATGCACAGGGGTACTAGAACACAATTAGGCTATAAGTATTATTCACAAATATTATTCACAAATTATGTGACGAAGGGTTGAAAAACATTATTATAGTTTTCAGTTACACAGTATTTAACAAGTCTTAACAATGTTCTCTCCTGCAGGCCCTTTAAGTAAAAGAAGAAAACATAGTAATAGCAGGTAACACCTAAATATCATATTAAATGGTAGGCACTATTCTAAGTACTTTACAAATATTAATTTACTAATCCTCACAACAATGTTGTGTGATTTTATAGATGAAGAAACTAAGACACAGAGAGTTTATATGACTTCCCAAGGTCAAAGAGCTAATGAGTGGTGGAGGTGAGATCTGAACACAGTCTGACATGAGAACCTATCTGTTCTTAACCTTAATCTACACAGCCTTTCCCAAGAATCATTAACAAGCAAGTATGAAT